TGCACACAGCCCTGAGTCATGGGCCACGAACAGATGGGAGCTCTCTTATATTTATGACCTGCCATCTCTCTTTTCTTTTTTTTTTTTTCCTAGAAATTAATTTTTCATTAAACCACTTTGAAAAATCTTTGAATTAACTTAATAACTTCATTCAAGGGGGAAAGATAACCTAGAACAGGCAGTTTTTAAGAAAACTCTTTGTGCTTGATTAATCAGCAAGTTGACCCTCTGGATATTGGATAAAAGGTGTGGGATTATCCCTTCTGGTTAAATCAGTTTTCCTTGTCTCTGGTCCCTTTTACAGGGAGCATCAACCTGTGGTGAATTCCTGCAGATAGTTTATAACCACGAGTGTTAATTAATGAGGTCACAGGGAAAGTGGGACAGGAAAAGGGGACAATCCCAGGAACTGGGACCTGCTGCTTCTGCCCCCCAAGAGATTTGCAAATTAACAGATGAAAACACTCCTGCAGAGCATACACACACACAAAAAGTTTGTGGTGGGTGTTTTGTCAAAAGATTCACAGGTTTGGAGTGTCTCAGGTGTTCAAGTGCAGGGGAAGTGCTCTTGATGGGAATTGAATTGCCTTGGAATAGCTGGGAGCAGAGAGAGAGCCTCAGTTGTTTGTGGCAAACTGCTGGGAGAAACCCTCCTGGACTGTAAAACATCATATTATAGAAAACAATTAATATAGATAATTAAATTAAATGTTAACTATATTAACAATTAATATAGTATAAATAAATATAAAATAAGGGCCACTTGATGGGGACCTGACTTGATTCAGAATAGTTGGGGGGAGAGAGTGAGTCCCAATTTTTTGAGACAGACTGCTGGGAGAAATCCTCTTGTATTGTATTATCATGTGCATAATATTCTACATAACAATCAATATAGCAAAACACATCTAGATAATATATTATATATATATATATCATATATAAAATACATCTAAATAATATATGATAATATATACAAATATAAAATAATAATTAAATCTGTTAAAAATAAAACAAGCACAAAATAAAGCAACAACTGAGAACCAACAGAAATGTGGATTTTGGAAACTACCAGGAAACAGTTCCAAGGAGATTGGCCTGGCCAAGGCCTCCCCTGGGACTTTTGGGGACACCGAGGTGCCACCATTAGGGGGGTGACATTATACAGGTGGTGCCACCCTTAGGGCTCAGTGGCAGCTCTCCCAGGGCACAGTCCAAGCCCACCCCTGCTGTTCCACCTGCTAAACTGAGCTTTCCTGAGCCTGTTCTAACCAAACATCCCAGCAAAGGCACTGCTGGAGAGCATCATTGGCACAGCAAAGTCAGGTAAATTCAGCAGTACCTGATGTAAATCAACTTTTCCCACTTGGGCTCAGCAAAGGTGCTGGAACTGCAGAGCCACATGAGGCTCTTGTCATCTGTTCTCACTCAGTGAAGGAGAAGAGAGAGGGAAATTAGGGCTGTTCAGGCAACCTGAACACTGACATTTGGAGAGGCAGTGAACTTCTCACATCAGAACACGCTGGATAAAACATGCCCATGGATACCTGGCAGGACATCCTGGTACACTGGGTACAGAAAAAACCTAATTTTGCCCTTTGACAAAACATCCCAGGGCTTTCAGCTCCACTGACACGGGCAGAAAGGGGCCAGAGGAAACAATTGAGCCCGAAATATTTTCCCTGTTGGCTTCCCACACTCGTGGGAGCCCTGCTATTTATATGCATGAATGATTTATTTCTCCATTACCAGTTACCTCCCTTGATTAAATATATTAGTGCCTTTTAAGTTATTTCAAGCTACAATCATTTTAAAATTAAATGATCCTTCGAGTACCCTTTGGGAGCTGAACACTAAACTGACAGTTCCAAAATGCAAAAAAAAAAAAAATGGTGGTTGTGCTCATTTGATTAATTAAACTGTACTTTTGATCACATAAACCAAACAGGAGAATATTAACCCTATTTTTTACCTCGAGAAAAGCAGTAAAATAGCAAAATGGAGGCTCTATTGTCATGGTCAAATGCTGTCTGTGTTCACTTGACAGCTTAAATTGTCACCTTAAGCTGCTGGAATTTCATTTGGCTTCACCAAATGTCCCCAGAAGAGCATTTCTGGGTTTTCCCCCCCCGCTGCTGATCGATTATGTCCGAGTAGGAAACGTCTTAAAAACTTTTCTCCCTTTAAGCTTTGCAAAAGATCTGAATTTAAATGGCACTTTTAAGGCTCTTTGGAGCCCGGGTACAACAGCAGTCCGGCTTTTGAAGAGCTCACAAAAATACTTCTGGGCCGAGAGAAAGGAGAGAAGTGACAAAAAGAGGAAGATAAAAGCAATCCCAAGTCCCAAACCTACAGAATCCCCTCAGCCTTGGCCTATTCTTTAGAACTAAACCTCGTTTTGCAAATCAAAGGAGCAGCTGCTGAACTTGCCTTAAAAAAAGAGGTGGGTCCTGAATGCAGGGCTGAGTGTGGGGACAGTGGTGCTGCCATCCATCCCATCAGTCCCTCAGGTCCTCCTGCTCCCACCCAGGGACTCCCCATCCCTGGACCCACCCAGGACACCACGGATGGGCTCCCACTCTGAACTTCCAAGCCCTCGTGGGTTTCCCCCTGGGGAAGGAGGCTCAGCCCCCCCAGAGGATGCTCTGCAGCCCATCCAAACACGGGCAGGGCTGCACAAACACTGCAGCAAAACAGCCACATGTCAGTATTTAGAGCCAGCACTGGGGATCCCCACCTGTGGAATGAGATGTTACTGGGAAAGGGACAAAACGGGGAAAATTTTTTTTTCTCTCTTTGGACAAAACTTTGAAAAAAATCAAAAATTCCACACAGAAGCCTAAATTGATTTAAAAAAAAACAAACCCTCCAAACATTTTCGGCTTTCACTAGTGCTTAACACCACGGCTCCCTGTGTGAAAAGACCCTTCAAATTGGATTTGCAGTGCTGTCTGTATGTTTTATTTCCCTTTGTGATCCGAGGGAGCGCTGCTTTGTAAGATTTATCCTGGGCAATTAATATATCAAGCAGAGAATCCCACCACTGATTTCCCCAAAGAGGTTTTGGCAGCTCTGGGTTGCACTGGGAGCTCCTGCCCGTAGGTCTGAACCCTCTAAAAGTTATTAAAGAGCACGAGGACGTCACCAAATCAAAGCAATTCAGTTAAAACCAACGTGGCACTTTATCCACCCAAAGCCAACATATGTTACATACGATAAAAATCTCAGCTTTCCACCCCAAAACAACAGGTGTCTCAGTGATAAAAGTCAAGACAAAAGTGCTAAAGCCTCTCACATACTTTCCCCAATTTCTACAGCAACAGAGCTGTGACAGAGGGCTCCTGACTGCTCAATTTGATGGCCAGGCAGACTTATAAAAGCTGAAATGCTGAGTTTCCTAGGGGAAGACATAATGAAATCAATGCACTCATGAATATGGATGGAGGGACAGGGCCATCTGTTCGCCACCAACATCTTTGCTTAAAACAAGTTTCAAATATTTTGCCCGGAGAAGTCGCATCTTTATTTCCAGGGATAAAATTAGACCTCGAATTTTCACCATCTCCGGTCTTTAAGTGTCATTGTTATGGAAATGTGGGGGTTTTTTCCCCCCCAAATGATAAGCAAAAGATTGACTGATAATACAGTTTGACAAAGTTCAGGTGGAGATTTCAGCGTGTCTGTGGAGAAGCCTCAAAATATTGACAGTCAGGACACGTGGCACATAATGTAAATATAACTTGCTCTGCCCTCCTCAGAGAAACAAGAGCCTGTGATGTCCTGCCCTCATTTGTATCCTACATCCATCTGATTTCCCTTCTGTTTTGAGGGAAAACATCAGAAGGCATTTTTATTCAGCATTCATGAAGCTGGTGTTAGTGTGGACCCCGACGTGCACGGGGGGAACAGGGAATGGGTGGAGGAGCTGCTGCTCCCAACCCTGGGGGGAGGTGGGGATGATCCAGGAGCTCCCCAGGCCCAGATGCTCCTGAGGTTTGCCAGGAAGGCCGAGGGGATGCAGGGCTGGGATAATCTGAGCTCCCAGGTCACTGTGGGGAAGCTGAGCCTGAGCCAGGCAGGGCAGTTCAGCCCCCACTGGGGCACTCTGAGAGGGCTTTTAGGAGCCAGAAGCCAAGCTGTGGGAATTAAAACCCAAACCACTGAAAATGATCCCCTGGAGAAGAGACAGCTCCGAGGGGATCCCACCAACACACAAGGATCTCAGGGCAGGTGCCAGGAGAACAGGGCCACACTCTCTGTGGTGCCCAGGGACAGGACGAGAGGAAAGGGGCACACACTGAATGCCAGAGTTGTGTTTAAGGAAAAGATGTTCCCGTGAAACTTTAAGGGAGATTTTCACAGTGAGGAGAGATTACAATAATGGAGACTCTAAAATATAGAGCCATTCACTCTCCTTTTTTCCAGTATCCTGGAAATATTCTCTTTAGTTTTTCACTGTGGGATTGCCACAGGCACCCAGGCCATGGGGATGCTTGGAACGGGACAAACTCCTTCCACAGCTTGGAAAACTCCAGGCAAAAGAAGTCAAAGGATCCAAAGAATGAATGAGAAGCAGATTGCACTGAAGTTTCCCAATATGAGGAAAAACTTCCTCACTGTGAGGGTGACAGAGCCCTGGAATAGGTGCCCAGAGAGGTTGTGGAGTCTCCTTCCCATGAGATATTCAAACCCCCTGATGTGACCCTGTGACCTGCTCGGGGTGACCCTGCTCGGGCAGGGCATTGGATCACATGTTCTCCAGAGGTTCCCTTCCAACCCCAACCAGCCTGGGGGGATCCTGGAAGTCACAAACTGTGGGGCAGCAGGAGCAGAGCTGAGGCTCCTCACAGGAACCATCTCAAGCAGGTTGCTCTCAATTACTGTGCTCAGTGTTAATTAATAGTCAGCTCTTGGTTACTCAGAGCAACGAAACAGAGACAGCCCAGATGAACAAAATGCTGATAGCAAAGAAATGAGTGTGAGAACATACTCACAGGGCAGGGCACTGGCACAAAGCGCTCCTCCTTGGGGTCCAGCTCAGCCCCACAGGCTCCAGCAGTGGGTGATGGTTGGGAGTTGGGTTTCTCAACATTTCTCAGTATGTTTGGTTTCAAACCAGAGCAGATACACGAGGTGTCCTGTGGTGAACTCTGCGAAAAAACAAGGAAAAATAAATCAATTTGGGGCTTGAATGTTGCAGTATCGCAAGCCAAAACATTCCTCTCCGTTTCATAAATACCATGTTGATGGTATTTATGTGTCTGTTTTAAAAAACACCTCAAAAGAAACCTAAATGAAAAGATAGGGGAGTAAAAGCATTAAAACTGAATATTGTCCACACAGTCAGGATTTTTCTACACAAACCTCATAAGATCAATACTTGCCCAAACCCTGCAATGTCACTGACATGAGGTTTTGGTCAAAAAAAATGCCCCACCAGGGCTTTCCCAGCAGCCCTTCCAAGGCAGGAGGAGTGACAGGGATGGAGAGACACACTTTGAAACACAACACAGTTATTTCAGGCACAGCCTCTGTGTGAGCCCAAATTCTTCCTGCAGCCCCCCAGCGCTGTCCCTGCTCTGCTCAAAGCACAAAGAGCCTCTGACAAAGCCCAGCCGGGGCCCCAGAATCAGGGCAGCCCAGCAGGGGAACCCCCAAATCCCTCAGCCCCCGGCTGGAGTCACTAATTAGCTGAGGCTCAGAACGAGCCCCCGATCCTTTTATTGCCCCATCCATGCTGGGAAGTGGAAAAGCAGGAGCGGGGCTGTGCAGCACAGCTCGTTAGAGCTCCTCTCCATAATTACCAGCACATTGACTGTGACACTGCCCAGCAGCTCCCCTCTGGAATTGGGGCTGTTCCATTCACAGCTGCAATGGGAAGGGCCTCTGGAATCATCCAGGGACACCCAACCCAGCCACGCTCCCACCTGGGGATGGAGAAGGGGCTGAGCTCACAGCTGGGGCTCATTTCCCAAATTCATTCCCTCCCGGACAACCCGGGCAGGTTACACTGGAACGGCTTCTCCCTTTGCATCCCAAATTCGGGCATTATGCTCAACCTGCTCCTCCACTCCCATTCAAAGGTGCAGATTGCTAAATTTGCATAATAACTATCTACGGCTAATTATCCCCATTTGTTCGTGGAAAGAGCCACTTTCTGCAGGGCTTAAAATCACCATAAACTGCGCATAAGAATCAAGAAAACACCGATTTATCTTATTAGCAGTGGAAGCAGTTTACGTGTTCATTAGCAGGGGATTATTTGAAAGGCATTAAAGGGCTCTAAGGACCAGTTCACAACCCCTGAGCACCCCGAGGGGCTGCAGGTCAGGGCTGGAGCAGGAGTCAATCAGCAGCTCAAAGAGCAATGGGTGAGGCCAAGGGAGCACTCGGGGGTGACCACCCTGGGAATTCCTATTTGGCACAACAGGCACACACTGTGTGGACGCTGCAAAGGTGCAGAAACCCCTGAGAAAGGTATTAGTTGAAGAAAAGCGAGATAAAACCAAGTGCTTGCAGCAGCAGTGTGTAGGTGAGCTCAGCAAGCTCCTGTGCATAGAAAACAGGCAGTTAAAATTCATTTTCTGCGTTTTTTAACATGATTTTGGACATATTTCTATCAAGGTGCAAAGCTGAGCTCCTGTTTCCTAGAGAGCTTCGATGCCTCCCTGATATTCTCACTGCTCTGCTTGGCAGGCAGCTGCTCCCAGCCCTCCCCTTCCAGCAGCTGTCAGAGCAGTTCCCATAATATTCATGGACTCTCCATGTTTTCCAGCAGCAGGTGGTACAATTTCTGTATCTGCAAACCATCAACATCCACATCCAGATTTTTCTGCTTAACAGCTACTACACACACCCACAAAGTGTTATCTGTTCCTGCACGTATTTTTAATACCCCCCAGGAAAAGCTAAAGTGAGGAACTTGTGTTTAAGGAAAAGATGTTCCCATGAAACTTTAAGGGAGATTTTCACAGTGGGGAGAGATTACAATAATGGAGACTCTCAAATATAGAGCCATTCACTCTCCCTTTTTCCCTGTGTCCCAGAAATATCCTCCTTAGTTTTTCACTGTGGGATTGCCACAGGCACCCAGGTCATGGGGATGCTTGGAACAGGACAAACTCCTTCCACAGCTTGGAAAACTCCAGGCAAAAGAAGTCAAAGGATCCAGAGAATGAACGAGAAGTAGACTGCACTAAAGTTTCCCCTTAAAAGACCCCAAACCCTTTACTTTGTGCTGGTACAAAGAACAGAAATGTGAAACCCAAACCAAAATAATTATTTGCTGCTTTGCCATCAAAGTTTCCACGAGACTTAATGGAATTGGGCAGCTTTCAAACCAACAGCTAATTTCCACCAAAAACAGGTCCACTATCCATCTCCCTAAAAAAAAAAACCTATGGATTTTGAACACAATCCCTTCCCTAGTAGAGCCATGAAACACAGAATCACCTTCCCATAACAAACTGCACAACTATAAATCTTTATTTCATGGTGGTGTGATGGATTTAATAACAGGATGCATTTAACAGTTCCTTTTTGCCAACCTCTTCCTTAATTTCTTAGGAAAGAACTTGCTGGGTTTAAGGCAGGTTTTAAGGAGCTAATTTTCCATAGTGATCCTGAAAAGAGCTGGAGTGTAATTGCCAGGGAGTTAATGGAGTCGTTGTGCATATTTTTGTTCTTCATTTTCCCAAGCACAATTTGAACCTTCCAGAGAGGTAACAAAGAACAGAATATTAGAGGCATCTTTTCCAGCCCATCAGGTGAGATTCTCATCACACACCAACCCCATGCAGCCAAAAATTCAACTGTAAAACCTGTACCAGCTGCTCTCCAAAACAGTTTTCCATGTCAATAAAGCAGCAAGTCATAAATAAATAATAACACACAATGGCCAGAGGCGTCCCTGCTTTTAGGGAATCTGCTGGAATTACTGTCCTGCCTGTGTGAGGGTCTGTATGTTATTCCTTCCTTGCCCAGGGCAAGGAATTGGAACAAGAACCCCAGGATCCCTGAGGTTGGAAAAGCCCTCCCAGCCCATGGATTCACCCTGTGCCCCATCCCCACCTTGTCCCCCAGCCCAGAGCACTGAGTGCCACGGCCAGGCCTTCCTGGGACACCTCCAGGGGTGGGGACTCCAAACCTCCCTGGGCAGCCCCTGCCAGTGCCTGACCACCCTTTCCAGGAAGAAATTCCTCCTGATGTCCAACCTGACCCTCCCCTGGCACAGCTTGAGGCCGTTCCCTCTCCTCCTGTCCCTTGTTCCCTGGGAGATCTGCTGACCTTTGAGGTCCCTCCCAATGGGAACCACTCTGGGGCTCTAGAAATGCAACCACCTCCCTCTCTTTTCATCTCCTGCTTCCTGAAAATGGTGTCCCCTCATTCCATCCCTGCAGCAACACAGGCTGCTTCATCATCATCATCATCACCACTCAGGAATTCTCCTGCTGAGGGCTCCCAAACACCCCCAGCTGACACAACACACCCTTGTCTGGGCTCCTTCATCTCCACCATGGACCCACCCAACCACCTGCACACCAAGGAGGCAAATGGAGCACCAGCTCCTCGGTTTTCAGGCCAAAAAACAGCTTTTTAGGATGCAAACCAGGTACATCCATCCCCTCCTTGCTGGTCAGTTTGTAGCAGGGAAGGGTGCTGAGCACCCACCACCCAGGGGAGAAAACCCAACTGTTCATCACAAATGGTCGAGGACTTTTTGCAAAGAATGGGGTTTTTTCTTGCCACAAGGTTGATTTTGATCTTGAAGACTAAAGAAACATCAAAGGGAAGTACCTGTGGGTATATGATACTCTCCTAGAACAGGCATGGGCTCATGAATACTGATTTATAAATATTCAGGATAAATATTGTACACTGAGAGTTCACCCGAGCCCTGCTCTGCTCCCCCTGCAGCTTCCAAACCCCTGGAAGTTTGGACTATCCAACCTTGGGTTCAGCATCCAGCTCCTGTCCCACCCCAGGGTTCTCTCTGTGCCCAGGCTGTGCTGGAAATGTGGTTTGAGGCAGTGCTGGGTTTGCAAAGGCAGCTCTGGGTGTGTGGGGCAGAGGGAAGGGAAGGCTGGAAGCCAAAGCAAGGTACTCACAGGAAAAATGATCACTAACCCAGGCTGAAACCAAAAGGACAATTATCAAAAATGGCAAATTCCACTTAATTTCTCAGCAAAAAGAAAACCTGAAAGAGCACCAGGCTTTGCACACGTTCCCAGCCAGGCTTGCCCAGAGCACAAAGAACAAATTTGGATTTATCCTCTCCACGGTTGTTTCCAGAGCCAACTGCAGAGCAGGGGGGTATCACTTCATTCCAAACTCCCCTGTTCCAGCTCGGAAAAGCTGCTCACGGTCCTGTTCTCCAAGCTGCCTTTGCAGCCCAGCATCATTTCTGATCTCACCCTGAGAAAACCTTCATAAATCTGCTAAATGACCCCGACCTGCAGTTTTCTCACTCTCAGTTTGCAGCGTCACCTCATCAAAGAGTTTCTCTGCCCAGATGGATTTAAAAAGCAGGTTTATAAAAATCAGAGTCCCTTGATAATCTAATAGGTCTATAAAGAAAATATTTCTTTTTCCCACACAATGCTGGGAAAACCTTGAAACTTGTAAACAAGCAGGAGATGTGACAGCAGCAACTGGTCTCTGTTAACAGCAAAATATAAAGGAAGGAAAATATGAGTAGAAAAAATGTACCTTGCATATATAATATAGTTTCTGCAGTCAGGTACTTTCTGGAGCTGCACAAGTTTGACTCAGTGTTGTAATTAAAATGTTCTGTAACAGTGGTAATTATCCCATCAGGTAAAGCACAATGGATGGCAGCACAAGCCTCCAATATAATCATTATTTTAAAGCTTCATTTCAGTTTTTGTGGCTTTTTAAGTGCCTCCCTCCTGCCTGGGAACAAGGATTTTTACTGTGGTCCAAGCCCCTGCGTGGGACAGAGTGGGATTTTTGTGACCTTTTTCTCTCCCTCCACTCCACACCAACTGTAATTTTTATCAACTTCAGCCTTTTGAAGAGAACTAGTTCTAATAAAATTAAATTAAAATCCAATTAACCTGAGCAAACCTCGACAGCTCAGAGTGAGGTGAGAGGCACAGCCCTCAGGAACACACAGGCCTTGGAAACTTCT